GAAAGTAGCGACGTTTACAACCATTATCACTTTTCCTCGATATTGGCTCAAGTCGGTATACTCTCCTTGTAGTGTCTCAACTTGGAAGTCATAGATACTCTGGTTAGTATTTCTACATTCTTTCCAGCGAAGAGTCTCATCAATTTCAGCACCTGGAAACTTTATTTCTTAAAGGAGGCGAGACAGCGAAAATTACGGGGGACAGTTCGGGGGCCGAAATCGCGCTGCGCTTATGTAGACCATCGGTCGTCAGGCGCCTTCGCGCCCCCGTAGCTTAGCCGGTAGCGGCGCTGTACCCCCCGAGCTGCCTGTCATGAGTTCAACCCCTCATGGGGGTTCTCTATGCAAAATATCAGGAAAACTTTTTTTTTGGTGTCTGGCCTCCTTTAAAATCAAGTTCAAAATGTTCTTCAACTCACTTCCAAAAACGTTCAAAACTGTTGCCAGCGAAATTGTCAACGCCAGAGCCCAAGACGAAGCCATTGTTACTGGTTGAGATGTATTGTATCTTGTTTGCCAGCACCCAATTCTTTATATACAGACACCCCTCGTGGGGGAGGTAGGCGTGTCAATGTGATTACATTGTTTGAGCAAGGCACCCCCGATCGGGCTGTTGGCATTCGATTTTTGAAATAGGTTACAAAACTCCTCCCACTTGTGAACAAAAGTTGGTACAAGAGTTCATATAAGAGTCAAAAAACACTAGAGCCGCTAGAATTTCAAATAAATGAACGCCATTTCTATTTCCTTACTGTTTCGCCGCCTCTTTGCAATGACCTATGTTCAAACAAAGTATTTTCTATAGTTGTTGGCGAAAAATTGAAATTTGAGATACCTGGAAAATGTTACAGTGTATATATTTTGTTGACGACTAAAAGAAAAAATTCGACAAGACTATACTTCTCGAGTTGGCGGCGCAAAAGTGGTGTAGGGGCATAAAATTTAGAAAAGTTAGATGAGCTTTATTTTAGGATTAGAAAATTTTTTGTGAAACTACACAAGCTGGAAAATGAACTGAAACGAATAAAAAAATTGTGAAAAAAAAACAGAAAAATGAAAGCCTACCTAGACTTTAAGCTCAATTATCTTGGTTATTTTTAAAGATATCGAGAAACTTTCAACTAATAAGTTACTTATCATATTATTGCCAATACTTTATCAATTGACAAGTTTTTAAAGATCTGATGGGAACCAAGATAATTAAGCTCAAAGTGCACGTAATGGGCGGGCTTCGGTTCGTGAAAATACGATGTGTATGTCCCAAAACAATCTGAACATCTGAAATAATCGAATCTTCAGTGATCCTTTAAAAAAATTGTACATCAAACAAATTCACCATATTCGTTTCCCGAGATTTGAATGATTTTTCATAAAAAATCAGTTGATCCGAAGCAAACCTAAGATATTTGTATCATGTACCATGATCTCAAATGTCGAAAAATGCACATTTTCAATATTTCAATTTTTTACATTAAAAGAAAAAATATCATGGTGTTATTCTAGCCTAGCAAATACCATTCTAAAAATATTCGCTAAAATATTCCGGTCAAATTGGAATACCAAAAATTCTGCGAACCTTCTAGATTTTCGAATTTATCGCTGTATCCTCCTGTGAGTAGAACCCAACAGTGACGTTATTTTTCAAAAATATTGTTTCAAAATTTTCCTGTTTCTCAAGCCCAACTTTTCTGTTCGTCGTCTTTTTGGCAGTTCCTATAATTCTAGTCTTTTCATCTTTTTTGAACTCTCTATCATTTTGTTAAATCGCAATTCTTGGCAATTTCCCAGTTTTTCTCTAGTTTCCAAATTTTTCATAAATGGAACTACATTTGAGAAGATTGTTCAGAATTCCACCTCTTAGTGTCTTCTTATTGAGAACACATATTCTTATCAAAGTGGGCGGAAGGAACGTTAACTGTAACATTCCATTCTTGTTTATATTATTAGATTTTATTATTTAACAAATTCGTTNTGTTGAAACCCGAACACTGTTTCTTATCAAAGTGAAACGTTCAATTTTTGAACATTTTGTGGACAAGAATGAAAATTTCATAAAAATAGTGATTTCATTATTCTACTTTATTTTTGACGAAATCGTAAATACATGAAACGAGAAGACTGTTTTTGGTGGGAACCCGGAGGCAATTAAAACGGAACACAATAGCTTATTAAGTCGGCTATACAAGACAACAGGTCAACCCCTGATTGACACATGTGGGACTACGGAAGTATACACACACATTGGAATGAAATGAAATAACTTTGATTGATATGGAAAGCCCAGTTTAGTTGGCTGGCTCAGCAAGAAGTTGCTCAATGAATGGGGTGACAACGTCTCCGTGGCTCCAGGCAGTTGGATGGAAACGGAATCGTGGCTGTCCATTTCTATCAATGAGGAACTTCTCAAAGTTCCATGTGATGTCAGATGCGCGAACTGGGTTGTACATCAATTCGTCGGTCTTTCCGATTTTGTCAACAGTTTGTGGGCAAGACTCCTGCAAGGTAAGAAGAATTATGGGGAGGCAAAGAGGAAGAAAAAGATGAAGAAGACCATTGCCATTTGGAACAACAATGCCATTGTGTTTTATTAATTCTTTTGTTATTCGACCTTGGAGACCGAAGAAATGACCCTTTAGCTGTAATCTTTTGTAGAGAGACCAAGAAAAAGTCTAACCTTGACGAATTCGTAGATTGGATGTTGGTTGTCTCCATTGGTCTCCAATTTTCCATAGATGTGCAAGTTCTGGTGTGGCTTCCATCCGTTTCCAGGGCGCACGTACATGATTCCGTTCATGAGCTCGTGGTTCTCAGCTGGCTCTTGCAAGTAGAACTGATTGCATGGGAAGGCAATAAGCGTGAATCCCTGTGACTGATACTTTTCGATCAGAGGGTTGAAATCAGTGTACTGTTGAGTGTAGGCTGAAAAATCTTCTTGTTCATGAAGGGTTTTTGAATTTTTGGTTCAATTTGATTTGATTTAATCGAAAAAAAGAGGAGTCCGTCTGAATGGCGCCAATTGATCAGTCATGTGTTTCTTTTTTAGGCGAATCCCCCTATTCTATCAAAATGTTTCAAACGATACTATTCCCTCGTCAAAAAGTATATAAACTTTCACTTTCAAATTTTTATGGAATAGCGTTTTTCTCCTATTTCTATCCCCTATAGGGTTTTGAATGTGTCTGCAGAAACGCATCCAGCATTGAAAAAAAAGAGATATAGATCTTGTAAATCTAATGATTAGAGGATATCTTATCTTCCGTCTTAAGGCGGAAACACTAACCGCAGAAAGTGGCAACGTTGACCATCAGAAGCACCTGTCCGCGGTACTGGCTGAGATCCGTGTATTCTCCTTGGAGAGTCTCGACCTGGAAAGAATAGGATTTTAAGAGAAAAATAAAAAGATACAGTACCTGGAAGTCGTAGATAGATTGGTTGGTATCTCTGCATTGGCTCCAGCGGGTGGTTTCGTCGACCATTTTTGGTCCTAAACTTTTAAAATGATTGAAAAATTCTAGAAAACAAAAATACCTGGTTGTGCTGCCGCCAGGGCAAGAAGAGCCGCACATGAGAGCTGCCAAAATGCCATTCTTGTTTTTTTTCTCGAGTTCTTCGAGACTAGATGACTGTCACCTATCGGCCCCGTTGCCACTTTTATACCATCTTCATACCAAAGTATCCATTAAGTGGGAGTGTTTAGAGAAAAATAGGGAAAAGAGGGCGGAGGGTTTGTGATGCGCAGAGAGAGGGCGTGGTGGGAAGTGAAGGTAGAGAGAAAACTGTTTGAACAAACACCTAAGATGTCTACTGTCTGTGTTTGAGCTTTGAGGAAATATTAAAAATATGAATATTCATGCGAAATTGAAAAATAGAATGGTTGTTTTTGGTGTTTTGGCTCTTTTGAATCCAAAAAATCGTACTTTCCAACCTAAAAATTTAGAAAAATCAACAAAAAATACAAAAACCCTTTATTTGCGCTTCAAGAAGCTGCTTGTTTACTGTGACAATATTGCAAACCATAGGAGATCTATTTCAATTTATTACTTGGCAGAAAAGAAAATACCGAGAAAAATTTTTTAGAAATAAACCAACTAGTTTTTTTTCCTCTTTGGCTTTTGCTTAAGATAGATTATGAAAGGATAATCATGTCAAATCAATGTCAACAATTTGCAGTTAACCCCGGGAAAGAAAAAATACAGGAAAAAAATGCATTTACTAGAATCGAATGGAAGAATAGAACACATTATGATGATGATGATGGATAGAGTAATCTTATATCGTTTCCGTGATGATCTTGATGACCAATTTCTCTCTCGTTTTCACTTTTTCGAAACGATCAAACTTCGCTGATTTCTTTGAAACGAAGGTTGAACCGAAGATTTGTGTCCTTTTTGGGGGAATTTGAGCGCTGTTGGATTGTAGGAATGTTCGCAAGGGTAAAAAAGACTTCGGGAAGCTTCGACGTTTTGTAACTACGACATTTCACCACCAGAAGTTTCAATACAGTGATAATACAGACAAATGGATAGCTTACAGACTGCAAAAGTTTTAAATATGCTTTTCCTGTTGGATCACGTTTAGCATATTTGTCAAATTCCGGGCCGACCCGGGTCAGGGCCGGGTCGGAAAAAATTCTTCCGGGCCGGCCCGGCCCGGTCGGCTCGGGTAGGTGATTTTTTGAAAAATTTTGATAAAAATTTATTTTGAATTCCACCTGAAAAACAACTTCCTTATTCCATTTCACTACCAGACGTTTCAATACAGTGATAATACAGACGAATGGACAGCATACAGACTTATTCCTTATTATCCGCCCTTATAAAAGTATCGAAACTTCAAAATTTATAGCAATTGTGATGAAAACTTCACAAATTTTCAAAAAACTTCGAAATTTTGGAATCTGACCCGGGCCGACAGGGCCGGGCCGGAGAATTTTTCATTTTGGCCCGGCCCGGCCCGGCTCGTGACAAGTATGACGTTTAGAAATTCGAAAAAAAGTCAATTTTTCAGTTTTTCAATTTTTTGGAATTTCGCGAATTTTCGATTTTTATCTATCAGGAAAAAAATGTTCCTATCAGTAGAAAAGTACTTGAAAACCGTAAAAATATTTTTGTAATTCAAAACATATCTATTAGTCCGTATTACTGTAGCGGCGATGCCCTTCTGCCCAAAAATAACCATTGAATTACCGCATTCACTCTGATAGAAGCCTTTAACATACGTTCACTTCAATTTTAATCATTTCGGTTCTCTCATAAAAACCGAGATAATTGAGCTCAAAATCCACGTATAGGCTGCGTTTCTATCAGTGCGAATACGGTATCATAATCAAAAATGAAACTTGAAAGAATTCGCCAACTTATTAATGATATTTTTTTGAAAATTCCAGATGCTTTCAGAGAAATTAAATGATTTGGTTATTTTTTTAAACTGCCACAATTCAACATTTGAAACTAAAAAATCTCGAGTCTCCCCTTGTTCCACCAGTCTAGTCAATTTTGATGTATAGTTTCAATTTTCGACTTTTTCCAGATGGTCCGCGATAAGATTTCATTTCAAACTTTGATTGATTGGTTTTTGAATGAGTTCAAATTGTTGTCATTCAACCAATTTTGATAATCAATCTTCATCTTAATTTTTTACAGATTGTTTTGATATTGTATAAAACCTGATTCTTCCAGATGGTTCTTCCAGGGATATTTGTTTTCGACCACTCATTCGATTTGTCATTTTTTCTTAATCACTTGTTTTTGAATTATTCACGTTTCAAATTCAATTTTTTCAATCACTCTGTTCCTTAAATTCCAACCAATTTGTGTGAACGACTCTCGTGTCAACCATTCTCGTCATTTCAAAAAAAAAAACTGGATTTCCTTCTGTTAGTACTACGTGATTGTTGTGGTTACTATCCTTGGGGTGGTCTCTAGTGTGTCACCTGTTTTTTTATTGAATAATGGAACAATAACATTTCAAAAGATCATCATCTTAGGACCCCAGGGTTAAAGAAAATTTTCCAAAGACAAAAAAAAACCAAGAAAGTTTCAAATGAGGGGGTAACAATGGACAGAGAAAAGTAGTAACGCATAATTTCCTTTGTGTATCTGACCCCTCCACTTGATACAACTAATTGTCTCTCCTTTTTTCTAGAAACATTCACTTTCCAAAAAAATAAAGAAACTTATTGTGGTTAGGAACTGGAAGCGTTGTTAAAAAGGAGGGGGTTAATTGTTGTCTTGTGTAGTACTACAGGTCAAACTGTTCATACATAGTGTAACTGTTTGACACGGGGAGAGGTTACACAGAAAAGAAGAATGAAGAAACTGGATGTCTTTGCAGGGGAGCAGAGCACAAACATATGTTTGGGGACAGAGTGTAGCAGGAAATGAGTGCGCGGGGGTGATTTGGGGGGGGGGTACCAATACGGTATGAATAAAATATTTTGAAAATGGACAAATCGAGAAGAAGGTCCTTTTTTTCATTTTTTTTTCCGGGTTTGTTCACATTATTTCCGTCTATTTCAAGAATACCGTGAACGCTCCAATAGGAAGTCACCCTATATTTGCACTTTGAGCTCAATTATCTCAATTCTTATAAAAGATAGCAAACATTTGTCAACTGATAAAATATTTGTCAGAATATCATCAACATTTTATCAGTTGACAGATTTCCGATATCTATCAGAGAAATCGAGACGATTGAGCTTAAAGTGCAAGCATTGAGTGGCCTCCTATTAGTTTTTGGGCAGAGGACTCTCAGTTTTAATATTTTGATTTTCACACAAATATTTTTTTTAGGAAAATCAGCGAAAAGATGTGAAAAATGGTTTTAATTTACTAAAAAATATTCCGTGATACTTCACTTATTCAGCATATCTGAAAATTCATAGCCTGGGTTTTTCATATTTCAAAAATTGAAATTTCTGAGAAATTTGTGTGCATACTTTTCATTTGGCGGAAATGTCGTTTTGGAAAGACTTCAGGCCGGAACTAGCCGGTCCGGGCCCATCCAAAATCCTGAAAATTTGAGTTTTTGACAATTCTAACATTTCCCAGAACAATAGCCACACTTCTCTCTACTTGTTCTCTCAACTGGTGACAAAGTCTAAAATAAATATTTTCACCTTTTTTCTCCCAAAAATATTTTGATTCTTCAATTTTTCTTTTCAATTTTCACGGGCTACTTGACACTTGGCAAATAATTATTCTTGACTTTTGAATTTCACCCTTTTACAGTTCGTAGATTAGGTATTAAGTGTTTTTGAGATCTTCAAAATCATTGATGGCTGAATGTTAAGGATGTTTTGACCAAACAAACAAAAAAATTCAATCAAAATATTGTAATTAACTGCAAACACCATCATCATCTTCAAAGAGCACAATGAACTTTTGAGCTTCCCTCAGGAATGTGCTCATTGGTACTCCACTGACCTTTTGCCAATGCTAAAAGTCTAATCCTGCCAACCAAGACACACTTCAGCAATTTTTTGTGCTCGTCGAGCACCACCAAACAGTAGTCATTTACTTTTGGCTCAATTCTGTGGTCTCAGAGTGACCTCGGAAGAGAAATTTCTGCTTTTCTACTAATTTTTTTTTTGCCAAATCCAAAAAGTAACATTTTTGAAACAAAATAAATGTAAACACTTGAAGTTACGTGTCACGTGTTTGTTACAGTAGTCCTGGAGAAGTTCAAAGAGTCAGTAGATCTGTTGACTTGTGAAATTGAAGGGAATATTGGTAAATAAATTGAGTGTGAAGAATGAAAAAAAAACTATTACTGACTTTTGGAATCCAGAAATAAATTACTAAGCAAACAAAACTGTTATATTATATTAAAAGACACTCACACGCCACAAACAATTTGATCGGAATATAGAAAGGGATGAAAAAACGGAAAGAAGGTTTATTTGCGTTCATGTTGCATGTGCCCTTTGCTCCTCAGAGCAAGAAAAAACGTTAAGGAAGAGCACGATATATTGTTTGGAGTTAACAAGTTATACTCGTCTTCATGCTCGACAAGCTCTATTTACAAACGGGATACACTGTTTGCATGAAGTGAAGAAAACTGCTTTTCTTGTTGGGTTGATTCCTGTGTATTGTAAATTCACTATTACTTGCAATCCTCAAAAATCAACAAGAAAAGCTAGTGTAATAGACTAGGGGGTCTAGAACATTCAAGAATTCTCGACAAAGTCAAAAATTGGGGATCAACGGTTGAGAAGAACTGAACAATGCTCCCAAACCAACAACTTTGAGCTAATATATCTCTGTGAAAGATATCAAAAAGTATTCAACTGATAAAGTGTTTATCATAAAATCAAGAGTATTTTGTTAGTTAACCACTTTTTGATATCTTTCAAAGGAACTGAGATAAATTGGCTCGAAGTTGAAAATTACGAGAGTTTTTTGAAAAAACTGGACTCTTCCGCTTTCTCCGGTGTCCTCAGTCAGCTTCGATGCTGTACGCGTTTCTCTGTACGCGTTTCTTACGGAGTTTTGAGAAGTTTTCGAATTTTCGAAAAAAAAAGTCTGCGATTCTTGACACTGTGAACACTCTAACAGAATCCCACCAGAACTGTCCATTTCGAACTCATTTCATGTGAATGGTATTAAAAAGTGGTCAACTGATAAAATGCTACTGATGTTTTGTTAAACATTTTATCAGTTGACCACTTTTTGATATCTTTTACAGGAAGTGAGATAAATTGGCTCAAAGTTAACAATTAGGAGAGTTTTAGAAAAGCTGGTCTCTTCCGATTTTTCCGAGAAGCAAGATGGGACCGCCAGCCCCAAAAAAATTGAACGTATTGTGGTACGGGCGGAGCCACTTTGAGCCAAATTTGTCATTTTCAGAATATCTTGAACATGATTTTAAAAAACCAAGTTTAGCTTGTTTTCCAGTATTTAGAATCATTCAAAAGTAAGGGTTTTCATTTAGTTCCTTCCTCTCCAAATGGTCCGAAAATGAAATTCCAAATCCTTTGTTCTCTGACTCACCTTGGCTAATTATTACTATACACCGGATATATCCTCCTATGTTCAGAGGGAGTGTGTTCTTGATTTCCGGTTTCTTTTTTTATTCAATCTCAACTTTTCCTTGATTGAGAAGAAAATAGTATACAATTCAAAAGCCAACCCTGGAATTTACGTTTTTCCGGATTCTCTGGTTTTTTTCAAATTTTTAGAAGCTTTTTCCGTCCTCCTTATCTATTTTTTTTCTAAAAAAAGTTCCTAAAGACGAGAAAATAAATTAAAAGTGCAATTTGAATAATTTTAAATGGTAATTAGTAATGAATAGTGAATGAGTGTGCAACCGGAAAACAAGATTCCACCCTAACATGGAAATTAATGTTGCCAGTTTCTGAAAATAGATTTTTTCAGTTTAGAACGTCTTTCATTATTTCTAGTATTTTCTTAGACATATTTTGGAGCGATTTCAGCGATAATATCGTTTTTTAGAATCCTCAAAATTCCAATTAGTGAAGAATTCAATATGATCACGTTCTAGAACAAATATCTCGGCTGTCGGCTTGCAACTTCTAGACGGAAGTTGAGGGGGGTTTGGCCTTTGGACGGATTTTGATCAGATTTCGGTCAGAAGCTGCCCACTGACAGCAGTGGGACGGACAAGTCAGATTTTGGCCTGAATTTGAAGGCGCTGCGTGTAAAGAGGTCGAAAGCTGGCCGGTAATTTGTCGGATCTTAGTCGGCTTCCCACAATGTCTTTGCCGGAATCTGACCAAGCTCCGGCCAGAAGTAACCGGCGACGCCTGAGATGGTACCGAAAAACAATTTTATTTATATTTTCTCGCTTTCTCAAATTATGAGTAATCGAAAGTTTTCAAAATTCTAAATGACATAACCTCATAAAATATGAAATGTGAAATCTTTCTATAATTGATCATTCAGAACTTTTTCTTGCAATTATTATTTTTTTTACTTTTCTGCTGCACAAATGTTCGATATCAATTCCTATGCATCTTAAAGTTGACATATCCATGAAATATGTACCTCCTCTTTTTCTCAGAAGATCTATCGTCATAAATAACTTGGAACGCTTCTTAGAGTGCGATCTGTGATCGTCGAGCAAAAAAAGGTGCTCGAACTTTTGCGCTTCATTTTCTGTTGACTTTATGTCAGTGATGCCATATTTACAAAGTGTGGGCAGTTAGTAGGTTAGAAATTTTTAAACCGAAACTTGCAAAAGGAATTAGATAACATCAGGGTAAACTATCAGGGTATCAACAATAGATTATGTATTCAAAAGTAGATCTATTAAGTATTTTCCGAGGGAGATATCAACCTTGGAGTGCTAAAAACATTTTAAATTTTTTACATTGCTCTGAAAACTTCAAAATATACTAAACAAAAAAAAAGAGCTTCAGTTTTGTAATTGTCAACTTTTTTGCCAAATTCCATATGGATGAGAAATGTCGTTTGTCCAACAGTAGGTCGAAGTGAGAGATATCTCGTTTTATGGGAGTTGTAAAAAAAAGTTGTCAATCACAAAATTGAATTTCTGAATATGTTTAGTAACCACTGCAAATTTTAGATGAATCAGAAAATTCTGAACTACTTTTTAGGTGTAAAAATTCAATCATAATATATTTTTGACGTATACTGCAGTTATGAAATTCGGAAAATTTAAAAGGATCAATTAAAAAAATATATTTGGGATCCATAACTGAGTTAATCTTACTCAAAATATTCGTAAACGGCTCCGGGACGTTCCAGAACCCGACGTTTCAGAACCACGGCCTTTCAGAACTCGACATTTCAGAACCCGGCGTTTGTCATTTTGTTCGATATGTTGTTTTTCTGCTTTTTTATTTGTTCTTATTTACCGTACTCCAAATAATGATCGGTTCACATTTTGCGGAAACTCTCAAAAAATCGAAACAATGAAAATTTCGAAAACAGTCTAAAAGTACGCAAAACATTGCCTGTATATAATTTTCATTTTTGCATACTTTTAGGAATGACATCGTTTTGTCCATAATGTCCATTTTTTTCGATTTTTCGAGAGTTTCCGAGTGTGATGCTATCATTATTCGAAATACTGTTGATAAGAACGAATGTAAATTAAAAAACAATTAATTGAAAGTTGCAAAAAACACTATGCAAAATACAGAAACTTTCTGAAGGTTCTGAAACGTCGGGCTCTGAAACGTCCCGGAGCTTCGGAAACTGCCTTGAAGATTGAAAGATTGAGACTCCAACGGTGCCTACAATAATCCTACACTACTGTCTAATGATGCTTACAGTAATCCTACTAAACGTTACGGTGCATTCTCAAAATTTCAAAATTGAAAGAATTGAAAGAAAGGAAAGAAATGAAAACCCGATCTAGACAATTCAAAAATCAATGTAAATTAGATAATTTGATTCAAAACCTGTAATTCTTCAATAAAATCTATAAAATGGCTATTTAGAGAAACACAGACACACAACACATTTCACTTCACAAGCTAACGTCATTCATAATTTTGAAATTCATAAACTCATTAAACTAAACTAAACTATGAGTCAAGTCTTCGGGGTGGTCGCAATGGCTTCCACTTAATTGTCACTTCCGTGTGTGTGTATGAGGCTAACTCAACTATTCAAATTCGAATTCCTAAAATTGATTCCCTCTACATGTCTAACAATTACTCGGGTCCCCGTTTTCCAACACATCAGTCAGCCGCCGATGTAATTTCCGCACCATAAGATAGGTTTCAATTCTTTTCTCTTATTTTTTGTGCTTCGCTTTTTCTTGCTTTCTCCCCTTCCAAAGGTCGTGAGACTAGAAAATTCCAAGTGCTTCTAGAAAATTGAATTCGTGATGACACGCCGACAACTGTACACGTCGAAGCAATCAGAAACGCATTAGAAGCTAGCTTGAGTTTCAAGAATGAGAATTCCGTGACGTTGCTAATTCCCGGTTAATTGGTTTTGATGCACAAATTTCCAATTAGCTACTGGAATTGAATGATGGTGTTGTTAATCTACGCGGTCAACGAACCCCGCCTATTCTTCCATTCTGGAAAATGGCAATCCAACCTATTTTTCATTTCATTTCATTCATTTTCTTTTTCCGGTTAGTGTCACCAGTCCCTCTTCTTATTTTCATTATTTCCTTTTATTTTCTACCATTGTCTTCTTTTTCCTTATTTTTATTCTCATACTGCATCTTTAATTTTTTTTTGGGTTAGTGGGTCCCAAAATTCAATTAACTGAGAGTCGCCAATTGCCATGACCTTACAGCAGACGCTGGTTTTTCAACTCCAGGGCCCCACTCACTGGAATTGAATTTTTATTTGGAATTTAGGTTTTTGAACTTTCAACTCTTAAGAAATAAAATTTAAACAACTCCCTGGGCTGCTCTATTTTAGACGCCATGAAATTAATAAATATTTCAGAGTTAGGGATGAATGAGTAAGTAAGGGATTTCCAGAATCTCGAAATGTTTCAAATTTTAAATCTCAGGTTTCTGATTTTTCCCAAGAATCTTTGTTCTTGTTTTGCTTCTTTGGAATTTCCCATAATTCAATTGAAGCTCAACTTCTGGAACTTAAAGGGATCCTCCCTTTTTATAAATCCTTTAAAGGTCGAATTTTCCCATTAAATTTGAACTTTTCTCCTCGTTTTTCATAGAAGATCACGTATTCCACCTTCGCAAACCTTGAAAAATGTCACCTAGGTGTCTAATCTTATACATAAAAATGCATAGGCAAGTTCATGGCAAGAACGTGAAGAAGTACCTGGAATAGAGTCGTCCAACCCCTCATATCCCCTTGAATACTCCCTCTAGTTGAAAATGAATAATTCATCATGAAGTTTTGGGTGGAGAAGGTCTCTTCGTCTCTATGAAATGACATTCCCCGTTCTTCTTAATATTCATGTGTGGATTTTTATACTTTTTCAGATAATTGTAATTTTCAGATTCTAAAAGAATTCTAAATTCGACAAAAGAAAAGAAAAAAAAATGGGATTGTGCAGCAGCAAAAAACGCATGACCACCGAGATGTCGGATGAGGAGGTTTCAGCGATTCGCGAAGTATGGATTCGGTGAGTATAGCCTCTGAAATTCTCTTCCAGATCTTATAAGAAGAGAAATCAATTAATATTAATCCTTCTTGTTTTTCCGTATTCTATAAAACCAATTTTATACCAGACATCATTTGTCTTAAGAATGCCATATAAGTAAACTGAATTTCATTAAGAAGCATCATCATCACGCGTTACGTCGTCTTACAGCAGCACGAATTAGGTTTTGATCGATGTCCATTATGCATAATCATTCATTTTTTTTGAAAATTACAATTTCCATTTGCAGCGCAAAAACCGACAACGTTGGGAAGAAAATTCTGCAGACGTTGATTGAGAAACGTCCCAAGTTTGCCGAATATTTTGGAATTCAGAGTGAGAGTCTGGACATTCGTGCGTTGAATCAAAGCAAGGAATTTCATTTGCAGGTACTCTAGAACCATTCACAGTACCGGTCAATAAGATGTACAAAAACGTGTTTTCAGTTTATTTTTACCATTTTCAGGAAGTTGGAAGTAGGCTGTCAAGTGTCCGACCACTTTGATAATTTTGGAGATTTTAAAACAGACCTAGATTGAAAACTTGGAATTCACAATATTTTTTGATACTCATTTTTCAAATTGAACATGGGAAAATCAAGAGTCTTTCAGAAATCGGAAATCAATTAGAGGAATTTTCCTAAAATTCTATGAATGCAAAGTTTTTAATCTGTGTCAGGGAACTTGACAGCCCAGCTTCAGACTTCTGAAAATGGTCAAAATCCACTAAAAATTATGTTTCTGTCTATCTTATTAACCGCTGATGTGCGTAAGCTCCAAAAAATTTTTCTAGGCTCATCGAATTCAAAACTTCCTCGACACTGCTGTCGGATCTCTTGGCTTCTGCCCAATTTCTAGTGTCTATGACATGGCGCACCGCATCGGACAAATCCATTTCTACAGAGGAGTTAATTTTGGTGCTGACAACTGGCTTGTGTTCAAGAAGGTTACTGTAGATCAAGTGACCACCGGCGCGACGGACAGCTCTAAGGAGAAGGATAAGGATGAGACGAACAGCAATGGAACTGCGAATGGGAAGGTTGACACCGAGGCCAACCCGATCCCGGTAGGGGTACATAACTGTGGTGAAGTGGGCCAATTCTAAGCCCAAACCTTTTTTCAGATCGCTGACATTAATAATGTGTACAGTGGAGAGAACTGCTTGGCTCGTTTGGGATGGAACAAGTTGATGACTGTCATCGTTCGTGAAATGAAGAGAGGTACGAATTCCGAGGAAAAAATAATTCTGAAAATATTATTATTTCAGGATTCTTGGAGGAAGCCATGCGCAATTGCAAAGAAGAAGACAACAATGGACTCCTTGGTGCTTAACCCCCTTTTTTTTCTTCCTTCTCAAAATATTATTGCCTCTAAAAACATTTTCAGGGTACTATAAATTTCTGGAATGTGCTCAGGACCGACTCGCCTAACACTCTAGGAATTTTTAGAACCTTGTCGCATTTTTACAGCTTTTTTATGATTGGCAGAATTGCACAATTCTTGCCTTGCGCTGATAGTTTCAGGTAGTTTTTTCTCCTACATACAATTAAATTTGAAATACTTGAAATCGGTTAAGCCCTAAACTGAAGTCCCATTTTAATTGTCCTGACACTCATAATGACACCTTTGCCCTGAATTTACAACTTCTCTGCTTTTTGTTTCTCGAATTTTTATTTAATTTCTTAACGCGTGAATAAATATTTGGATTAAATGAAAATACGGCACACTGAATCGAAACATGAAACGGGGAATTTTTTGGAATCATTGGGTATGTTAAGTTATTGAGAAATAGAATGGAAAGTTTGGAAACGGAAAGCTGGAAAACTGGGTTGGAATCAAAGAATTTAGAATCGGGAATGTCAATTTCAGAAAATGGTCCGTGATTTTTTTGAAAAGTTAAGGATTGACATACGGCTCTGGAACCCATCCGGTTCGATTGGAAATCGAGTCACGAACAAACACCCATCCACGAGATCCGCATTTGAGAAGGATGACCTGAAAATTTTAGATTTTGAGGTTTTAAAGGAGGCCAGACACCAAAAAAAAAGTTTTCCTGACATTTTGCATAGGGAACTCCCATGAGGGGTTGAACTCATGACAGGCAGCTCAGGGGTACAGCGCCGCTACCGGCTGAGCTACGGGGGCGCGAAGGCGCCTGTCGACCGATGGTCTACATAAACGCGGCGCGATTTCGTTCCCCGAACTGTCCCCCGAAATTTTTGCTGTCTCGCCTCCTTTAACTGATTTTGTGGCTCCCGGAAATTTCGCAACCGGACATTTCGCAGCGGGACATTTTGCAGCCAGACATTTCACAGCCAGACATTTCGCAGCCTCTGATAACGTCAGAAAATCAGAATTCCAAATTCTTCGGTTTTGAAAAAAGTATATTTTAATGTCAGAAATTGAATTTCGAAGAATTCGGCTAAATCTTCACCGTTATGATATTTTTTTAGAATTCCTTTTTTTTCTTCTAGAATTCCAACTTTCTAAAATTTTATATTTCAAAAAGAAATTCTGAATAACAATGAAGATTTAGCATTTTTCAATTGATTGAATACTTGCTTGCTATTTTTTCAGCTGAATTCTTCGGAAATTCAATTTTTGCCATTAAAATATNCTTTTTTCAAAACCGAAGAACTTCGAATTCAACCGTACTAGTTCCAATAGGAGCTAACTCTATACGTGCCCTTTGAGCTCAAATATGTATATTGGTTTCTTCATGATGTATTACAAAACTGTCTACTGTACATTTTTTTTAATTGAAATGAACATTTGGTCCGTTGACCACTTTTTGATTTCTTCTACGGGAGATGATAAATATGGGCTCAAATTTCACGGTTTGGGAGGCATTCAGATTTTGTTTACAGTATATATACTCAACTGAAGAAGTCAATACATATTAGCCTTTTGTGCGGTACTGTATTTTCTAATTCTAACTCAAGTTTCATACCTTGTCCCCACGATTCACAGTCATTTGCTCTCCAGACGACGCGTTGAAATCGTCATTGACAATCAAAATGCTTCCATACTGGGATGGGTTGAAGTATGATGGAACTGAGATATCATTGGTCTCTGTACGACTATGCTGCTGATGATGTTGGGGTTGGTGAGACGGTGACGCCATGGGGACGTAGCTGGCATCCACGTGGAATCTACAAACTATTTTTGTTCCTGAATACTATATACTTAATTTTTTACTTTTTCGCATTCATTTGTTCCTCGGTCACCGGATTATCGACGACTCTGCCGACGCGAATGTAATCACTAGTCACAACTTGATAAGGCGTGCCATTCTGAAGGATTATAACACGTAATGTAAGAAAAAATTTTGAAAAAAGGGTCTCCGTAAAAACATGACAATTAGATGGAACTAATTTAACTCACTTGAATTGGCGTATAGCTGACTTTTGGTTGAGCATTCGAAGCTAAACCAAAAACATTGACAGCGCCTGGAATACTGCTTCCAGGACGTCTTCCACCGCCTGGAGCACTGTTAACAGGCTGAAGAGGCACTTGCTGGAAACTCATGATTTCATCCAAATGAACAAACAACTCGGCGAGGCGAAATGATTACAAAGATGCACACACAACACACATGATAAAAACTCACCTCGGCGACAACAGGATGATGGAGATGGGCGTATTGGTGCTCGTCGTGACGTGCTGGAATTGGAGCGTATTGGAGATGTTCAACGGTGGGTTTTGGTGGAGGCACTGGCGCAGGGGCAATGTAAGTGGAGACTGGATGTGGAGCTGGTTGTGGGCGGTGTGGGATTGGATCAATCTGGAAAAAGTTGATTGTTAGAGAGTTTTAAAATTCAAGTCTAGACTGGTAGGGTTTTTGGGCAGCTATAGGGAAAAAAAATCTGAAGTTCACCTCAATAGACTGCCGTTTGTAATTGCTGACCAGTGTCACTCCGGTGGCATCTACCGTATCTCTACGTGGCAACTCCTCCAATGTAGTGGCAACCGAAGACGTGGAGTTGGATCTACTGTCTCCAACAGCTTCATCTACTTTCTGGAAAAGAATATATCTTGTGATTTCTGCTAATTCTTTTTATTTTTCAAGCCAGATACCGAAAACGTATTACATTCTGATTTGATAAGTTAAAAACAGGTATTTTAAAATTCTGAAAAAATCCAGAAGTTTATTCCAGAAGTTTCCGATTTTCAAGTATAAGAAACAAAATTAATGCTTAATTTGGTAGTTGATAACTTTCTTGTCAAATTTCATTTTTCTGCGTTATGACGTTTGTAACGAAAAAGCTCCGAAATTGCCAAGTTAGCATTGAAGCCGCTTAACTCATTTCGTTGAATTTTTACAAAAAAGTTCTTAGCTGGCAAATTTGAAGCTCGTATTTAGTTTAGTATACTCAAAAAATTTCAGAAATATCGACAAATTCTGTGCTAATTTTTAGGATTTCAGAGGTGATCAGTCCCTCTCCCTCACCTCTTCTGCCTTCTCTTTCGCCTCCTCCGCTACTACCACCGCTGCCTCCTGATGCATCTCGTGGTGCCAATCATGATTGTGCTCCTTGTGGTGCTCCGACTGCTCCGGCTGAGCAACAACCGCAGCTCCAGCCACAACACCACCCACAACTGGATCAGCAAGAAGACCCTCGGCTTGGAACAACTTTCCAATCTCGACGTATCTATAAGAAAGAAAGTTATAGAACGATTTTTCCTATTTTTTGATCTAACCCATTAATCCAAGAATGGAGTTTATCATTGAAGAATTTGTATCTCAATTCTTGTTGTTTCGCCCAACTTGCTGCTTCTTTTCTGTGGAACGCGGTAATATCCGCTTCGGTTTCTCCATTTTTTCTTTTCATTAGCTTCTTTTCCTTTGCTTTGTACTCTGAGTACTCTGCCTTCAATTTCTCTTTCTCCTTATTACTGTAGTCATGGACCTTGTGTGCCAATGCCTCAAACTCCGTGATCTGGAAAACAGGGTTTTATATTTGTTTCTTTTGTCATCAATTTTGCCCAAAATTCGATCTACCATGAAAGTTTTTGGCAATTCAAGAGCACAAACTGAAAATTTTCAAATTCAATTCTATAAAAATTGAAATAAAATAACCACGCAATCAGCTTAATTACGGTAATTTATCTGATACCACCTATTCGTCTTCTTCGAGCTCAATTATCTCGGTTCTTTGAAGAGCTATCAAAAATGTTTCAACTGATAAAGTACTTATGATAATGTAATCAATATTTTGAACAGTTGACAAATTTTGATATCTCTCATAGAAACTGAGATTATTGAGCTCAAAAAGCTGTAAGCTTAAAACAGAGCAGATGCGTTATTAAAGAAATGAAAACTAGTTAAGAACTCCTTTCAAATATTTCAGAAATATTCAAAACATACAACTTTTTGATGAGCAGTGACTCCAAGCACAAATTGTTTGAAAACCTTCGACAGCTCGCGAGCCTCTTGCTTGGATTTGTGTCCAGCGGTGTCTGCAGACATGATAAGCTTGTGAGTGGCATCACAATATTGAGACATGGCTTCTTGGAACACTGAAAAATAAAGATTTCGTAATTTTCACTGATTCATGCACATTTTGTGAGTCACAGAGGGTCAAATTTTATAGAAAAAACTCACTGTAATAAGTTTTCAAAAGATGCATGCCAGCTTGCCCGAGATTTTTTGAAGCTGAAACTTCAAAAAAATACAAAAAAAACCAACAAAAAAACTAACCCGGCAAGAATTGCGAAGCGAGTTGGTCATGAACCAATTGTGGAATGTTGGCTGCCATTGAAGGCGTAATTTCCGGGGGTACCGCTTGTTCGTCGACCGACATCGGAATAACTGGCGAGTACCGATGGGAGACTGAAAAATGGAAATTTTTGATAATTATAAATCAATAATCAAGTTTTGAATCTGACCACGATTGAGGTTTTAATGCGAAACGCTTCGTTTCGCCCAACCAAACATTTTTATGTGTGGCAATATGTTACAGATAAGGCTCTTTTTTGCGTCTTGCCAGACCGAATTTTTGTTGGTTTTGAATGTGTAAAATGATAGACTTGGCATCTTTTGGCGCCTTTTTTTTATGGCAGGCGTTTGGGTCTCTTTTAAAAGCAAAATGGAAAAAAAAGGTTGGGAAATTGAGTATCTTGTTTTCCTCTCATTCTTTTAAATTTTCATGATTACGGTTATCATTACAAATGTGTCATAAGATAGGAATTAGGGGAAAAAGAAACAACTGAAAAAATAAGTGCCTATGAAAAATTAAAGCACTCTTCCGAAGAGAAAAATGCACACATTGGACGATCAGTCGCACCGCGCGTAGTACAGTTAAGTTCATGAAAAGCAGCAAGGGTTGTGTGCCGTTTTTCGAAAACGAGTTGTGCAAGTGATAAGAGCCCCCCCCCCCCCCCCCCCCTTTTTGGTATGTGCTTTCCCGTGCGTTTGATTATGTACATTTACCCGAGAGGCAATGGCGCCCTAAAGGAAAGCGGAGGAGGTGAGAGAGGACGTGAAACAAAACCAAAAACCGCTTTGTGCCATTTTTGAAGCGAATTGGATGATTTTATGGGGGGGGACAGAAATTGGGAGAAACCAAGTTTTTCAAAAAGTACTGTAAAATGAAACTAAAATAAAAACGTAATTCTAACAGTCTCAGAACGAAAAATACCGTATCTAAAATGATTCAAATTTTGTAAAATGAGATTTCTAAAATTCTTCTAAAATTATACAAGTTTTTCAGTTTGAGAATTTCTAAATTCTCAAGAAAAACTTTTGAATTTTAAGAATCAGGTTTTTTTCTGCCACTTCTCCAAAACTTACACATTATCCGACAGGTCATCACCATTTGCCTTAATTTTCGGCAACTAGAAGATGTGTATGGTCCTTCCGACGACACATACTTCTATTATTCATAATTTCCCCCTTCAAAGCTACATCCGGAACCTTACAACAAAAATTTTGCGGAATTTACAGAATTTTTTGTATTGACAATGCATCAAGATGATTCATAAGCGAGAGAAATAATCAGAAACAGACAGCTTTTATGTTGATTGATGGTCATAAGATCCAAAAGATAGTTTGAAAAAAATTCCTCATACGTTTTCAAAAAATTGGAAATTAGAAAAATTCGGAAATTCGCAGATTTAGAGATTCTAAAGTTACGAATGTTCAGAAATTCAACACAAATCACGCTCTCCCACAGAACAATTCCGAACTGCAAATTAATTTTTGATCTACAGAAAAAGTTTGGCGCGATCACAATTGCAGGTCTAAAACCATAATTTTAGAATTTTTTATCTGATTTCGTGGGGTTCCAAGATGATTTAAATGATTCTTAAAAAATTAATTAGTGGTTATAGATTCATGTATGGTCGTTTTCCGGAAGAAAAAATGTCAAAAATGATAATTTTTGAAAGTTTTTTACAGAAAAAATTTATCTCCTCTTCCAGTTTTTGACATTTCTAGAAGTTCTATAGCTCAAAAAACCGCAATTATTTTCTCTATATTTTCTATGGACGAATTTTTAATTCTTCTGATAAAACTTTTTTATAATCAAAAAACAACTCAAAAATGCAATTTTGTGCAATTTCATGAGGTTTTTGAATTATAAAAAAAGTTTTATCAGACGTATTAAAAATTCGCTCATAGAAAATGTAGAGAAAATAATTGCGGTTTTTTTGAGCTATAGAACTCTTAGAAATGTCAAAAACTGAAAGAGGAGATAAATTTTTTCTGTAAAAAACTTTCAAAATGACCATTTTTGACATTTTTTCTTCCGGAAAACGACCATATATTAATCTATAACCACTAATTAATTTTTTAAAAATTATTTGAATCATCTTGGAACTCCACAAAATCAGATAAAAAATTCTGAAATTATGGTTTTAGACCTGCAATTGTGATCGCGCCAAACTTTTTTCTGTAGATCAAAAATTAATTTGCAGTTCGGAATTGTTCTGTGGGAGAGCGTGCAAATTGAAATTTAGAATTATAAAACTTCAAAAAGTTTTCAAAACTTTAAAAAAATCGGGAAATCCAAACATTAAAAAATTTAGAACATTTTCGGAGAAAATTCAAAAAATTCAGAAATTATGGAAATTTAGAAATTCAGAAATTCAGAAATTCAGAAATTCAGAAATTCGGAAATTCAGAAATTCAGAAATTCAAAAAATTCAGAAATTATGGAAATTTAGAAATTTAGAAATTCAGAAATTCAGAAATTCAGAAATTCAGAAATTCAGAAATTCAGAAATTCAGAAATTCAGAAATTCAGAAATTCAGAAATTCAGAAATTCAGAAATTCAGAAATTCAGAAATTCAGAAATTCAGAAATTCAGAAATTCAGAAATTCAGAAATTCAGAAATTCAGAAATTCAGAAATTCAGAAATTCAGAAATTCAGAAATTCAGAAATTCAGAAATTCAGAAATTCAGAAATTCAGAAATTCAGAAATTCAGAAATTCGAAAATTCAGAAATTCAAAAACTCAGAAATTCAGAAATTTGGAAATTCAGAAATTAAGAAATTCAGAAATTTAAACTGAGTTTTTTTATAATACAGCTTAATAAATCAAAATTAAAACGTCAAACCAACCTTTCAACATCTGGCAAAAGGAGTTTTTCTAGTACCACTCACAGGCAACACAGAAGCATGACTAATATCCGCACAAGTTTCTATTCCATTTCTCCTTCGTATTCCAACAAAAAAACTAGCATAACAATCCATGGGCGCGCGCAAGCGCCAGATTCCGAGGTCACTCGTAAATCACTCACCAATCTTGATGCTTTTGAATCTCTGATTGAGGACATATTTGTGTCCGTTGATTTCCAGAGTTTGAGCTGGAATTGGAGCTGGCTCCGGTGGAATGTTAGAATGGTAGAAGAATTCGTCGGTGGCGGACTGCATTAGTTGTTTCTTGGCAGCCAAGACAAAGTACATGGGACAAGCGAAATGTGGAAGGAGAGGAGGACGAGAAAAAATGAATTGATGGAACTTTGCCCCTGTTTTTTTTTGTTTTTCTTGCAGATGATAAAAGGTTTTTTATCCGCCCACACCTGAGAGGCTCTTCGCTGAATTTCTAGTCTAAAGCCAGCCTTATCTACTTCGAAAAGAGAATTCCGAAAATTTCAAAAACTCACGTCTCCAACTCCATAGTTTCATCCCAAGAAGAGACGGTCGTCGAGTGCCACGATTGAAAATGCCAGCTGTAACAACTTTAGATGTTGTAAACGGCCCGTCTCGTGTGCCCTTTCCACGCTCTCGCCCCATCTCAAACACGGTCTATCGGTCTATTTTCAATTTTATACGACGTGCAAATTACAGGGGTTGCTGGACAGCACAGTGAATCTTTGGGAGAGAAACAAAGGGGGGAGAACATGCGGGACGTGTGTGTGCAATTGGGGGCAATAAATATTTTCTTCGTTCTTCTGTGGAGGTGGAGGAACCTGGGAATGCTCTTTTGCAATTGGGGGTCACTCACCGAGCATATTTTGTTCAGAATTGGTGCAGGATGTGCGGAAGATAGTGAGAAAATCTACGGATTTTGGGGGAAAAACTATAAAGTTATTTTTGTTTCTAGAAATTATGTTTTTTTTTGGTTATGTTTCCTTTTTTGTATTTTTTTTTTGTATTTTTAGGGCAATAGGATGAATCGATGAAAGGCAATGTTTAGATTCAGAATTGGAAATATAAAAACAAGCAGTTTTAATTTTCTGTCTGAAAGTATTGAAGGTAAAAAATATTGTTTTGATAATTTATTTAAATTCTAAATTATGCAATGCTCTTTTTGGTAGTTTCGTGATTTTATATATTCTTTCGATAGGCTACCGTGAACACTCTAATAGATGTCTTCCCTATACTTCCACTTTGAGCCCATATATCTTTGTTACTGTAACAGATATCAAGAAGTAGTCGACTGATAAAATGTTTATCATATTATCATCAGTATTTTATCAGTTGACAGATTTCCTATATCTATCAGAGAAATTGAGATGATTGAGCTTAAAGTGCAAGCATTGAGTGGCCTATTAGTATTTGGGCATAGGACTCTCAATTTCGATATTTTGATTGTCACACAAATGTTTTTTTCTATGAAATTTAGCAAAAAGATGTGAAAAATGATTTTATTTTATTTAAAAAATATTCTACGATACTTCACTTATTCAGCATATTTGAAAGCATAAACTTGCACTTTGAGCCCATATATCTCTGTTCCTGTAACAGATATCAAGAAGTAGTCAACTGATAAAACGTTTATCATATATTAGTATTTTATCAGTTGACCATTTTTCGATATATGTTACTGGAACAGAGATAAATTGGCGCAAAGTAGAAGTCCTAAGTAGCCTCCTATTGCAGTATTTACGGTATGACTGTAGATGTTCCTGGTGTCTCTAAACTAAAATCATTCAAATAACCAGCTATTTTATTGTTTACTCAAATTAATTTATGTGTAAGTTATTCTGAAAATTCCTAAACTAACAAAATCTTATTTACCATCAACAACTCTTATATAATGCACCTACTTTCAGCTTTGAGGCAATTTATCTCAATTACTGTAACAGATATCAAGGATTGATCAACTGATGAAATGTTAAACATAATATCAAAAATGATTTATCAGTTGATCTCTTTTTGAAATCTTCTACAGAAACTGAGATAAACTGACTCAAAGTTGACACTTCAGAAGGCATTTTAGTAGAGTGTCTTAAGTAATAATGGATACTCTAGCTCATTTTCAGATAAGGCATTTCTGATACCTTATTCACTTTAAACCACTTTTTCAAATTTTGCAAAATATTTTGATCTATGGTTTTGATCTTCCATTGCTTTCTATCTTTTTCCTGGTATTTTATATTTTCTTTTTGAATCCGTTTTATCTGTTTCCAACCAGAACATTCCATGCGTTCTTCACTATTTTTCCCATCATTTTCTGATTTTTCATCTCCTAAAAATCAATTCAACCTGCAAATCAGGTACTCATAAACACATGTATTACACACTATTTAAAATTGAATTGCAAATTATTTCGAGTATGTTGATGATGACAAATCCTTCCTCTCATGCCTGTCGTTCCTTTCTCTGCAACATACATTCGAAAAGTATTTTTGTAGTTTCCCTATCTCCCTCTCTCCCGCCTTCCCGCTTTTTTTTCTCTCATAACGATGAGACAATAACGATGAGGCTCGCTTCATTCCACTTTACAACGTCATATCCTCTTTTTGTTTAGTTTTACTTCTTTTTACTATGTTCTCGTCTTTCTGTAAACCTGGAGAACAAGAAAAACCAAAGAAAGCATTTTTAGAAAATAATGAGTCGCCTGCTTGGTAAAAATCTGATACAGTTGTCAACATCCAGAACAAAATCTACAACTGAAGAGATTGTGAAAAACTTGACGGTCCCTCTAATAGAACATGCCCAGCCGTTGAAGATGTTGACAGCTGAGGAGAAGAGAAAAACGGTACAATTGAAATTGCAGGAGGTATCCAAAGAAATTTTATTTATACAAAATTTTTTATTTGCCAGATTGAGCACCAAAAGGGCCAGCCGCCATTCTACGATATGTTCATGAGAGAGCACTCTTATTTGAGAATCTCATTGACAGAAAAGTGCAATTTCAGATGTAATTTTTTTCGAATTTGTCTTTTAGCCGAATTCCCATTCTTCAAAACATTTTAGGCCTATACTGTATGCCAGCTGAAGGTGTACCTTTAAAACCAAAAGACAAAATGCTCAAAAACGAGGAGGTGTTGAGACTGGTCAAGTTATTTGCGGACCATGGGATTGACAAAGTGAGACTAACTGGAGGAGAGCCAACAATTCGAAAGGATATTGTACAAATTGTTGGTGAGTATTATGTGTTTGTTGTTAGAAATCGGAATTCGGCTTTTCAGAAGGAATAGCGTCTACACCAGGTGTCAAAGATGTGGGGATCACAACAAATGGATTGGTGCTGCCAAGGTTTTTGCCAGATCTAAAAAACGCGGGATTGACTAAGGTGAGGAATCTGATTACTGTAGCGCCTTCGCACTCACAACTTTGAGCTAATTTGTCTAGGCTCCTCTGCAAAATATACAAAATTGCTTACTGATTAAATATTTGTGATAATAAAATACAATAAAAACTCTAATAGAACGCCACCCGGACCGTCCACTTTGAGCCTATATATCTCACTTCTTTTGAAAAATATCAAAAAGTTGTCAACTAATAAAATGTTTATCATGCTATCATAAACATTGTATCAGTTGACACATTTTTCATATCTTTACTGGAAGTGCGATATATAGGCTCAAAATTGACAGTCCGGGTGGCGTTCTATTAGAGTGTTTACGGGATTATATCTGTTGACAACGGTTCTATGTGTGTTATAGAAATCACTCTCCTAGCATTATTATGTAAGCCAATTATTTAAAAACTGCCATTTTGGAAGTTCGAATTTCAGAATTTTCTGAGATTTGGAATTTTGGAAATTTGGAAATTACAATTTTTGGACATTTGTAATTCAATGGAATTTCGAATAGTTTGGAACTTTGAAAATTTCAAATAATTTGAATTTTGGACTTTTCGAATTTTGGAAATTTTAGAATTTTTGGATTTTCGGAATATTTGAAATTTAGAATTTTTGGAAGTCGGAATCTCGGAATTTACGGAATTTCAGAATTTTTTGGAAATTGGAATCCCGGAATTTACGGAATTTCAGAATTTTTTGGAAATCGGAATCTTGGAATTTACGGATTTTTCAGAATTTTTCGAAATTGAACGTTTTTTTTTGAATTCGGAATTTCGAATATTTTTGGACATAAAAAGTTTTATGGAATTTTGAAGATTTCAGAAATCAAAAAATTTCAGAATATTTGAAATAATTTTCAAAATTTATAATTTCAGAAATTTTGGAATTTTTGGAGTTTTCGGATTTTGTGAATATTTTGAAACTAAGAATTTTTGTAAATTAGAAAATTTCGTAAAAATGAAATTTGGGCCTTTTGTATTTTTTGAGTTTTATGAAAGTGTGGGAAATTGTGAACTTCGGAAAAAAAGGAGACTTGGATATCAATTCACTCAAATTTGAAAGATATAGGTTCTTTTTATTACAGGTGTTACAGTTTACCAGAATTGAATGTGTCTCAAAATATAATTCAAAAGTTCTAACTATTGCTACTGTCATATGATGTTGGAAAGACCAAAATTTGCGAAATAAATATTTTCAGGTGAACATCAGTATTGATTCTTTGGACCGGCAGAAATTCGCTAAAATGACTCGCCGAGACGGATTTGACAAGGTGTGGAAATCCATTGAACTTGCACAAGACTATTTTCCAAAAGTCAAGGTATTTCCAATTTTTTTAGATTTGTAAAACCTATTTTACAAATTTCCAGCTCAACGTGGTTGTCATTCGAAACCAGAATGAAAATGAAATTGTGGATTTTGTGAACCTCACCGCCAACCGTAACCTTGACATTCGGTTCATCGAATTCATGCCATTTGGAGGAAACGAATTCAAAAACGATAATTTCTATGGATATCGAGAAATACTCAGCTTGATAGTTGAGAAGTTCGGAGACGACGTGATTCGGTTGTCAGATTCTCCGAACGATACTACAAAGGCTTATAAGATTGAAGGATTTCAAGGACAATTCGGGTTTATCAGCTCGATGTCGGATCATTTTTGTAATACATGCAATCGGTTGAGAATTACTGCCGACGGCAATTTGAAAGTGAGTGTGTTTTTCCCGTTTTTCTATCGAGAATGTTTCACATGACCCTTCCCCCTCGTCATTATAACTCATTTTCCTCTCCTTCGATTATTCCAAGGACATCGAAATGCGCTTTCGTTCTGATCTCAGATTTTATTCCTTTAGTCACTAACAATCTCATAAACATTCAACTGAAAAAATAAGAAAAGGTAGCAAACGTCATTTTGTGCGAAACGAGATCCGTTCTCTTCTGTTCTCGGTTCACCTGCCAACTTTTCCGTTGATGTGAATTACAAATGTGTTTTTTTCTCTCTCTCTCTCTCTCTCTGTTCTTTTCTTTTCTTCTTGTTTTCCGTTTCCTTTGCCACTGCCGAGTTTGTTTTTGCTTCTGTTTATATAGGTAATATATATTTTTGAAGGTTTTTAGAATTACGAATTCTTGATGAATCTGTGGAATTGCATATTCTGAAATTGAATCATTTTCGTCCGTTTTCCATCAGCTACAGACCAAAAAAGTGAATCTCCACGGATCATTTAAGAGTGATGTTATTTCAACATTTTTCAGAGAAATTGAGATAATTGAGCTAGAAGTTCAGGACCAGGATGACGTTGGGTTAGAACATATACGGTTTATACATTACCGTCCGAGGACATAAACACAAACGCATTTTTCGGTTGAGTTTGTGCTATTTTTGATAATTCTCAGAAATCTGTAGCTCGTCTGTCCAGTTTCCTGTTACTTTGCAAGTTTTGGAGGCTGTAAAACAGACCTAGATTAAAAACTTTGCATTCTCAGAATTTTCGAAAAATCCTTGTTTGTCAACTATTTGCCAATTTTCGAGAAACTTCTTGGCACAAAAAGTAACTACACATTTTCAAAAATATGATTTATAGAAGCTCATCAAACATCTTCGTATAATCATTGTTTTTATCCAACTTGCTTTTTAGTGGGTCTTGAGGTTTTGTTTTGAAAATTACTGTTTTGCCGTTCTGCTATCACATGCCAGACGATTTCCTCGAAAATATACTCTCCAGGGACGATTTAATGGGAAAATATAACCATATTCTGTTTAATTTCCTTTTTATGTACATCTTTTGTACCCTTCCAATTTCCTCTATCCTCTAGTTTTCTCTCCATGACCACAATCTACAGGGAGACCTTTTCATTTCTCTTCTTTTTCAATTTCCTCTTTTTTCGCTTTTGGAAATTCCTCTCTTCCGGTGTTTTCACTCTCTATGGCAACCGCTTTTAAAGTTTCCCATGAAACAAATATCACTAGAAAGATTTCTACTCCGATGAACTAATGTGGAAGGCATGAGAACTAAATAAATCTGACTAGTTGAGTTTTGAAATTTGTAGTTAACTCACGTTTTGAGAATTACCATTAAAATCTCAAATTCTCAATTTTGCTAGATTTCTTCAAAGGAACCGAAAAAATCCAGACTATTTTTGAGGTAGACATGTTTTCTTCTGGAAATTCAAAATTCAATATATTGTTATCCGATGCAGTACATGTCCTAGGGATGATCTTATAAGAAAACATAACTCTATAAAATATAAATTTTTGGTTGACGTCATTCCTCTCTCTTATGCTCCAACACTCTCTTATTAGTTTCCAACGTTTTTTTTCTCAAAAATATCAGTAATACTTCTACCCTCCAGGTATGCCTCCATGGGAACTCTGAAGTCAGTCTTCGTGACAAGATTCGAGATGGCTCTTCTGATGAGCAACTTTCGGAAATTATCCAGAAAGCGGTCAACAATAAGAAAGCAAGGCATGCCGGTAATTGGAATCTGAAATCTTATAAGGTCGGAAAAAGTTCCAGTTTTCAGGAATGGACGCTCTCAAAAATCTTCCCAATCGTCCTATGATTCTTATCGGAGGTTAACTTCAGGTATACCACTGAATTTTGAGAATGATCTAATTTTGGTTTTCAGAGTCTCCACTGGTCACATTCCCCAAACTTGGTCACTTTTCCACATCTAGTTCGCTTATGTTTAGTCACTTTTTTCCCAAATCTCACTTATCTAACATTCGCCAATATTCTACAAATCATTCAGGCAAGTTCCTAATTTCTGATGTCCCCCAACTAGACTGTTACTGCTTGCAACAGATGTTTTCTTATCAGTTATCAATTTTTCAGCATACTCAATTCCATCGGTGCTCACTCATGTTGACAGCAATGGCCGGGCAACACAAGTCGATGTTTCTGCGAAAGCTAACACTATAAGAACCGCTATAGCCAAGGGAACAATTATGGTAAGACGATTTCTTTTTTTTCTGAGAATTATTTTTTATTTGTTTTCAGTTAACCCCAGAGATCTCTCGACAAGTCTCCGAAAATACCATCAAAAAGGGAGATGTGTTGACTGTAGCCAAGGTAAGTTTTTGAAATATTTCAGAAGAAAACTTCTAAAAAATATAAATTATAAGAAAAAATTTAGATTGCCAGCATCATGAGCGCAAAAAAAGTTGCGAATCTGATTCCACTATGTCATCCGATACGTTTGGATTTTGTTGATACTGTATTTGAGCACGACTTGGAAAATCACCAACTTCATTGTATTTCTACTGCCAAATGTGGCGGGAACACCGGAGTTGAAATGGAGGCGCTCACCGCTTGTACAGTAAGAAAGCATTTGAAATTTAACTAAAAACGAGAGTTTCTGATTCCAGATTGCTCTACTCACCATCTACGATATGTGCAAAGCGATAAGCCAGAAAATGGTCATCTCCAACATTCACCTTGTACACAAATCGGGCGGCAAAACCACGTATCACATTGACAATGAAAATCAGATTTGAACTGCTAGTCTTTTCACTTCCATTTCCACTTTTTTCCTTTTTCCGAATGAATATATTTTTTGATTTTTTGAATTTAAAAAAATTGAAAAAAAAGTTCCCAAAATCAAACCAATTTCCCTTTTACCCGTTTTTTTCTTCATCAAAAAAAAATCTCCGCTTCCGCATGTCGCTCGCTGAGTGGCCAATATGTCTGCGCCCTTTGCCTTTACCCCCTTCAGCGATCTCGTGGTGTAGTGGTTATCACATCTGTCTAACACACAGAAGGCCGGCGGTTCGAGCCCGCCCGAGATCAGATATTTTTTAAAAATATTTTTGGGTTTGTTTTTTGATTGAAGAAGGATTCGAAATAGCTACCGTATAGTTTATCTCTAATTTTCGACAAAAATTTCAATTAAAAAACTGAAGTTTTTATTTTTGTTAAGTTTACTCTGAACATTTTTTTTTACTTTTCTGGACAAAGTTGACTACACGCCTCTACCGGCAACTTCAAACTGAATTATCTCGATTTCTGTGGAATATATTAAAAACTTGCCAACTAATAAAATATTGGTGATAGTATGATAAATAATTTATTAGTTTAAAAAATTTGATCGTTTCATTTTTCAGAAAGGCTTGAATTACGCTAAACTAACTACAAAACGTAGAATTAGTGATTCTTCTGAATTTTTATAATTAAACTTTTTGTATTTTCCGAAAAACGACTCATTTTAGCATTACGATTCCTTCATTTGAATCGAAATTCCTGTTTTTTCAAATACTTGTAAATGTCAGATTTTTTTTCAAATGAGAACAATTTCTGAACCTCTCTGGCCCAATTCAGGTCTTGGTTTTTCAAAATATATTTTTTTGTTTTTTACATGACCTAAATTTTTAGTTTCAATTCATTTTGAGGATCTAATAATAATAAATTAACAGTTCTCCGACCGGCTTTCACTACAATTTTAGTTTTTTTTTCTCCTCTATCCCACAACTCCTCCGATTCTCGAACCTCTGCAACGATCACATTTTTTGACAAAAAAAAGGGGTGTGCCACACGACTGATGGCTGATAAAAAGTGGAACCATCGGCATGTACTGATGATACGAGCGAACAAAGAGCAATTTTTCAGGGAATGGTGAACTGATACCAGGAACAGGGATGAAGAAAGTTTTGATGTGTCTGGTGTGAACTTTTTGCCTGCCTAGATTCTATTTTAGAATTACAAGAACGATTATCTGGAAAATCTGGAAGTATATTTTTACGAATTCAATTGTTCAATATTTTCCTGAAATTCCCCTCTAGAGAAGTTGAACTTGTAAGACCAACGTCACTTCAAAAAAGCTCCTATTCCTTTTATTTTACCACAAAAACTATACGTGATTCCCGAAAATTCTTTTTTAAAAACAAGAAATGTGATATTTAAAAAAATCAGAAGAGTTTGCAAGCTTTCTTTCTTGGGTTTGGGGAACCATCTCACTTCAAAATAAAACTTCTTCTTGTCGACCATACAGTCGCATTGGGGCTCGTCACAAAGTGAGTGGACTTGATGTACTGTGTTGTCATTCAAATCAAAAATCTTCTCTTCATGGTAAAACCTAAAATGAATGAAGCTTGAAACCACCAATTTCTCTGGTTACTCACTCTTTCCACACTGCGAATTGCTGAAGAGTACCGAGCAGGTGAAATTGCTCACCATTCATTCGGCAAGTGTGCACTACATTATATCCCAGCTCGAAAAACACCTAAAAAAGGTTTACATCTCTTAACACAAATTTCAAACTCACATCGAACCAACCATCATCCGACTGGGTGCCGTCGAGCTCATATACGGCCACTTTCTGCTCTACAGGGAAGCATTTTTTGAAGGTGGCAATGACTTCTGGAGCGGAGCTGAAAATTCAGAATCAGTACCTTTTCTGGTTTAAAAAAAAGCCTACAGGCTATCAAACTCCAATGCTTCAATGGTCGCACACCATGGCTCAGTCGGCTCTTTATGACAAGGGGGGAGCCCATGGGAAAAGGGGGGCCATGACAAAAGGGGGAGGTGGGCCCATGAGAAAAGGGGGCCCAAGTCAAAAAAGGGGGGGGGGGCTCATGAGAATATGGGGGGCCCAAGACAAAATAGGGCCCATGGGTATAAAGGTTTTTCGATTTTTTCAAGTTTTGCCACTGTTTTAATGAAAATTTCGTACTTTGCGCATGTTTCCATAAAAATGCATAACTTCAAAAAATGTTCATTTTAGGTCATTTGTTTCATGAACAACACTGTTTTTGCTGTTGTAACTGTGTAATTTCATTCTATTAAGCTAATATTTGATTAATTTAGGCTTAGGAACAAAAGAATTATACAAAAATGTATAAAAAATGACATTAACTGAAAATTTCAAAAAATGATGAAAAATGTTCAAAGCACAGAATTTTAGAGGAAACAACCACAAAACTTGAAAAAGGCTGAAAATCTTAACTTGGGTATAATTTTTTATTTTGGGCCCCCCCCCCTTTTCTCATGGCCCCCCTTTTGACTTGGGCCCCCCCTTGTCATAAAGAGCAGCTCAGTCCAACTGTCGCATCGAAATGTTCCATTTAAATAAAACCGAGTTGCACTGGTACAAGTGCAAAACAGGGGAAGAGCAATAATCAGTCGGGTCATCTCGACTTGGAGTCGAATGTCTCCGGATTGAATTTTTTTTTTGAATCCAAAGTTGCTTGGGCGGTGATAAAAAGATAGATATTTCGATCGGGTCACCGTCGGGAGCCCGGAGCGGGCGGTCGAAAAAAAACGTTCTGCCCTGAACTGTAGATGAAGCTGTTGGAGACAGTAGATCCAACTCCACGTCTTCGGTTGCCACTACATTGGAGGAGTTGCCACGTAGAGATACGGTAGATGCCACCGGAGTGACACTGGTCAGCAATTACAAACGGCAGTCTATTGAGCTGAACTTCAGATTTTTTTCCCTATAGCTGCCCAAAAACCCTACCAGTCTAGACTTGAATTTTAAAACTCTCTAACAATCAACTTTTTCCAGATTGATCCAATCCCACACCGCCCACAACCAGCTCCACGTCCAGTCTCCACTTACATTGCCCCTGCGCCAGTGCCTCCACCAAAACCCACCGTTGAACATCCCCAATACGCTCCAATTCCAGCACGTCACGACGAGCACCAATACGCCCATCTCCATCATCCTGTTGTCGCCGAGGTGAGTTTTTATCATGTGTGTGTGTGCATCTTTGTAATCATTTCGCCTCGCCGAGTTGTTTGTTCATTTGGATGAAATCATGAGTTTCCAGCAAGTGCCTCTTCAGCCTGTTAACAGTGCTCCAGGCGGTGGAAGACGTCCTGGAAGCAGTATTCCAGGCGCTGTCAATGTCTTTGGTTTTGCTTCGAATGCTCAACCAAAAGTCAGCTATACCCCAATTCAAGTGAGTTAAACTAGTTCCATCTAATTGTCATGTTTTTACGGAGACCTTTTTTTCAAAACTTTTTCTTACATTACGTGTTATAATCCTTCAGAATGGCACGTCTTATCAAGTTGTGACTAGTGATTACATTCGCGGATTGATCAAACTCAAGGATTGATCAACTGATGAAATGTTAAACATAATATCAAAAATGATTTATCAGTTGATCTCTTTTTGAAATCTTCTACAGAAACTGAGATAAACTGACTCAAAGTTGACACTTCAGAAGGCATTTTAGTAGAGTGTCTTAAGTAATAATGGATACTCTAGCTCATTTTCAGATAAGGCATTTCTGATACCTTATTCACTTTAAACCACTTTTTCAAATTTTGCAAAATATTTTGATCTATGGTTTTGATCTTCCATTGCTTTCTATCTTTTTCCTGGTATTTTATATTTTCTTTTTGAATCCGTTTTATCTGTTTCCAACCAGAACATTCCATGCGTTCTTCACTATTTTTCCCATCATTTTCTGATTTTTCATCTCCTAAAAATCAAATCAACCTGCAAATCAGGTACTCATAAACACATGTATTACACACTATTTAAAATTGAATTGCAAATTATTTCGAGTATGTTGATGATGACAAATCCTTCCTCTCATGCCTGTCGTTCCTTTCTCTGCAACATACATTCGAAAAGTGATTTTTGTAGTTTCCCTATCTCCCTCTCTCCCGCCTTCCCGCT